TTTGAGTTCAGATCGTTTGTTCACAGGGTCGCCATGAGTCTTACTCGACTGGATGGCACCTAACAACAACAACAACAACAGTCTATCATGAGTCCCTCTGAGTCTGGAACTGAATCTTGCTTACATCCCTACCATTTGGCATAGGGTCAGAAATAGTGCAGTTCTTACTATGTTATTTGAGGGAGCGCTGGTGCCGTACTTGATGCACCTCCCTTGTTGGGCAAATCTATCAGCGGCTTCTCAAGAGTAAAATGGGCAATCTCCTCCTGTCTCGTTTACAGCCTCCCTAAACCCCGCACGAGGTCCAACCAACTCTGAGTCAGTTGGATTCGAGAGCAATTCTCCCCTATTCCCAAATTCCTGTGTTGCTGCTGCCCCCAGCTGACACTCCCGTTGTGATGCTACGACAAAGGAGCCAGTCAAAAAAGGCTACCTCTAAGCGAGCCGATGACGCAAATTATCGGTTACACCAATAATCGGTGGAGTTAGATAAAGTGGGCGGAGTCAAGTGAAAACAAGCCCCTTGCCATGGCAGACAGGAGCTGAAAGCCGCTAGCACAAGTGTGTGAGGTATGTCTGCGCGTGCGCACGCCATGCGCGCGCCGCCGGCCGGAAGATTTGCACGTTTCCGGGTTGGAGGCGGGGGAGCGGTGCCGGAAGTACTCGGGGAGGGCCTCGCAGTCGGACCGGCTGCTGAGACGAACGCTTCAGTTGGGCAGTCTCCGCATACCATGGGGAGATAGACGCTACTGCCTGTGAGTCTTGGGCCCTGGCAGTTGAGAAAGAATAGCGGGAGGAGGGAGACAAGACCTTGGCCCTCAGTGGGTCAGTGTATGAACAACCAGGTTGTGGAGGAGACAGGGCTGTGAGGCTCTTGGGACGGTACTGAGGGGCTCGGGGCTCGGAGAAGACGCGGCTTTGGGGATCCCGACAGGACTTAGGAACGGGGATGGATGTGAATTTCTGAGTATCTTATGGCAGGGACAGAATGAGGACCTGCGATCCTTAGAGAAGACGGTCTGAACAGAACTAGACGTGAAGACAGGGTCTTGCGGGATAGAAACAGGGCAGTGAGGACTTGGACTGGTACGGAGCAGAAGCAGGACAGTGAATAAATACCTAGAGTCCGGAGGATTCAGAAACAGGGCATCGGACTTAATGTCCCGAAGGGCAGAACAGGTAACGAAGACTTGTGTTGGGGAGCAAACAAGCGCGTGGAGTAGATGGGATCGGAGTTTTGAGACTCCGTGGACCCGAGAGTACCGTGCTGTGAGGACTCGAGCCCCTAAAAGTGGAGATGAGTCTCCGAGGGAAGGCTGGGATTTGAAAAGGTTTGAGATCCACTTTTTCTCATATTCTTTGAATCCAGAGTGGTAAAGGAAGTATTGAAGGGGAGATGACACCTTCGCGCTGCCTGCTTGCCTTCTGGCAGATTTTTCTTGTGCCAAATACTTAATCTAGGAATCAAGCTCACAGGCAAAAGTCTTCATTTTCTGTTTCATTCTTGTGAAGCTCAAATGGATGTGAAGTTGGAAGCAGTTTGAATTCAATCATGTATTTAATAAGTGCTTTAAAGATCTTTCTACTCAACGCTGATTGAGCACATACAGATCTCTACATTTCAAATACAGAACTGTCAGCAGTGGAAGGACGCGAAAAAATTAAGAGTTTAGGATCATAATGAGGTAATGAGTCACTAGATCACGATTTTGTTACTAGTTCTCCAAAGAAACACTTATGATTAATACTCTTTTAAGTCAATACTAGAATCATTGGTTTAACATCAAGCCTTAGGGAATAATTGCAGCTTTGAGTGCTTTGTTTTGTCCCTTAATACTGTTGATACAAACACTCATAAGTAAACCAAACCAAAATCCACCACAGTAGAGTCAGTTCCTATTGGAGACCCTCTTTCAGTTAACATTCCACTACTATTCACACTGTGCCACCAATAAGGAAACTTTTAAATGAACCAAAAAAAGATCTTAAGTTTGTAAGCCATTTGGAAAGTGACAAAACAAGTTGGTGCTATACTTTTAAGTTTTTGATGAAAATTTATACAATAAAACATACTCGTACAATAATTTTTATATATTGACACTGGCAGCATATTTTCCCTTGTGTCACTATTCTCCCTAATTCTGGCCATACTGTTTGACTACTATTCACTTAGACTTTCTGTCCCTTATTGTTCTCACTCAAATGGTTTTAGAGTTCTATTTGTTCATTTGATTTCATAGAGAGAATTCTTTAAAGGAACTTCATGCTCAAAGGGAACAATCTATTAAATTAACTAATTTATTTTAAACATGATTTCATGAGGTAGTTTCAGAGCACTCCTTAAGAGTTGTTTCCAGGCACTAGACTGAAAAGTTTCCTTCAGTTTCAGTGTATCCAATAAATGTGATTTCCAATAAAAATTTGACATTCTAAGTCCTTCCTTTGGTCAAGTTCTATCTATTGGATGCTTGATCAAAACATTGGCTAATGGAAACCTTTAGCAGAAATGGTAACCATTTAGACAATTAGACCTACATTCTGTTTTCCTCTCTGAGCCCTGGGTCTCCTCCCTGCAGCAAAATAGAGACCAACTATATCTTGGATAACTTCCAGCAAACTTGTATGACCCCAGACACAACTTACTGAAGGAGGTACAACAGATACTCTCAAAACACTATTATCCATGACCTTAAAGTTCGCTTAAAGAAAACCAACCTCATGAGGTTTACAGGTCAACAGCTGCAGCTTTTTTTGGGGGGAGAAGGCATGAAAACGGCTGGGATTTTTGTTTGTTTTAAATTTTTTTAAATTTTGTTTTACTATTTTTGTGTGTGTGTACCGTCAAATTGGATCTGACTGGTACAGGAGGAGATTGCCCCTCCTCCAGCAGACCATCTGGTGGATTTGAACCGCACACCTCTAGGTTTACAGTGCAGCTTCTTGCCACTAGACCACCAGAGCTCCCTTTGGGTTTTGTTTTTTACAAAATTCTATTTACAGTTTCTTTCTCACATACCCCAACCCCCCCACCACCCACCCCCATCACACAGCTTACTGATATCAGAACCTCTTTGTTCTCAAGTTAGAACAGCTTCATAGCTGACCCTCCAGTGCATTTTCAGATACTGTAAGTTATCAGGGAGGAGTTTGTCTCTCTGTCCCTGTAGAGCCTCTGGTAGATTTGAATCATTTTAGAGGCGAGGCACCACCTTTGGATTAACAGTGCAACTACCTAGGGTCTAGGCCACCAGAGCTCCATAACCCTCAGTCAGGGCCAAGATTCTCATCACCATAGGTGAGAATTCACTACTTCTCAATAAATGATTCTCTTACCTCTCTCTTTGCTTACTTGGTAACCACTTAAAACTCAAACTTCTTGCTGTGGAGTCAGAACTAACTCAGAGCTAGCCTACATTGTTTCTGAGGCTGTAAATCGCACAGGAACTGATTGCCCATCTTTTTCCCATGCAGTTGGTGGTGGTTTCAAACTGGAGAGGTGCAGTTTTTGGGTTAACAACATAACTCTCTATAGACTAGCCCACTGGAGTCCCTTAGTAAGTATTAGTAACCCTTTTTAAAAGGAAATTGTAAAAGTCTTTTAAACACTGTAATGATTGTTTTTATGTATTTACCTATTGCAATTTCACATAAATGAGGTCATATAATAGTTGTCCTTTGTGACATTTCATTCAGCTTGTCTTTAGGGTTCACCTATGCTGTAGTATGTATCAGGACCTTTTTTTTTTTTTAAGATAAGTAGTATTTCATAGTATGTACCACATAGGGAGATCCGGTGGTCTAGTGGCAAGAAGCTGTGCTGCCATCCCAAAGGCATTTGGTTCGAGGCCACCAGCTGCTCCATGAGAAAAGGGTAGCTAGCTATTCTCCTCCCATGTGGTTAACTGCCTCTGAAAACCCTCCGGAGGGTCAGTTATGGGTCAGATCCAACTCGATGGAATTCAACAACAATAATGTAAGACTGAAGACTGCAGTCCACCTCTTCTGGGATAACCTCACCTTGTTTATACATTCATTTACTCAAGAGCCACTTGGGTTATTTCTGCTTTTTTACTATTTTGACTAGTGCTTCAGTGAACACTGGCATACCTCTATCTGTCTCCTACATTTAGATCTGTAGAGGTTATTTCTCACAATGGGATTACTGGATCCTATGATAGCTCTATTTCTAATTTTTTTAGGAATCATCATACTAACGGTATATGTATATATGTAAACAGTCTGTTTTCACAGAAATTTCAGCCTTGGAAACCTATTGGGGCAGTTCTGCTCTATCCCGTAAGAATCACCATGAGTTGGCTTTGATTTAAAGACAGTTGAGATTTTTATAAAATTGTGATTTGAGCAGAAGTTTACAAAATGTACTTGTTTTTCATTCAACCATTCACATTTTATTTTATTTTATAATGTTAATTACAATGTTGTTGTTATGTGCCGTCGAGTCACCTGCGACTCATAGCGCCCCTATGTACAACAGCCCTAAACTCCGCTCTGTCCTGTGCCAATCGCACTGTCTCCGACACTCCCATTCCAATTACCCCAGTCACTGATTCAATTACAATTACTTAATTACAATACTCAATGTAATTGTGCTTTTCCTATTTCTGCTCTTTAATTCTTATTTCCAGCAATTTTTTCTGTCTTACCTATTCCTGCCTTCAAGACTTTCCTTTTGGGCAAAGGCTGCTTTTTTTTTGACCGTATATATGCTTGACAAGCTATGCGTGCCTCCCTGCTATTACTGGTGACCTTAAAGTCTTGTGTGTTTTTTTGGCTAATAGTTGAGTAACGGATGAGTTTTGTTCCAGATTGAAGGATGACCACTGGCTGTAATCTCAGAAGTCACACCATTCTCTATTAGACCAGTAAGCCTGGTCTTTTTAATATTTTTAATGTGTCCTGAATTTTTGTCCACTCTGGGTCTTCTTTGGTAATCCTTTAGAGAGAGGTCAGCAGTGATAGTTGGTCACTATCTAGTTCTGTCTCAGAGTTATGGAAATTGAGGTTCATGTGACTTATTAGTTCTTTGGACTAATTATTTTAGTACATCTTTGCTGTTACTCCTTGTTTATTCCAGGCTGGGAGAGAATGATGGTTGTACCTTAGATGGCTTCTTGCCTGCTTTTAAGATCCTGGTTGCTACTCACCAAAGTAGGATGCATATCATTACCTTTGGGAAATGCATTATGCCAGTTGACCTTCATGTCTCCCAGAACTATATTTCCACAGCTCCAAAACTGGTAACTCATTCTACCAGGGTGTTTGGTTATGATTAAGAAGCCTACAAAATATTGCTCCCTAATTGCTCTGCTATACACATAGATATACACAACAGGAGCCCTTATGGCCTAGTGGTAAGAAGCTGCAATCCCAAAAGCATGAGGTTTGAATCCACCAGCTGCTCTGTGGGAGAAGGATGGGTAGTTGCCACCCGTGTGAGTAGCTGCCTTTGAAAACTTGTGGAAAGGTCAGCTATGAGTCGGTGTCACAAATGACAATAACAGCATACTAATATGAGGTAGTTCTTATGGCCTAGTGGTAAGGAGTTGCACTGCTGTCCCAATGGCAGGCAGTTCAAATCCACCAGCTGCTCCACGGTAGAAAGATGGGCATTCTCCTTCTGTGCAATTTAATTGTTCCTGAAAACCTGTTGGAGGGTTCATCAGTTCTAACTCGTTGGTACATAACAACATCATACTGATATAAATGTAGAAATCATCTACCAGATCTATGAGTG